TTGGACAATGCTATGGAATTTGAACTATGGGTCTGTAGGGGAGAAATTGATGGGGCTGGAGCCTTGTTTTTATTCTGACACTGGTGTTAAATGCCTTCTAGTCACTGATGCTGTGTTGATGCAACCCACTAAAGGCATCCCGAAGCTAGGATGTAGTCTGAGTGGGTGATAAATTTGGATCCCACAACCATGCAAACCCACATTTTTAGTCAAATACCTTCTTTCCCAATAGGTTTTACTTCGTTTGGTTCATTGGGACATGGAGGCCTTACTTCGTTCTCCTCTACGTCATTTGGTGGCAGTGGGATGGGTAACTTCAAATCAGTATCAACCTCAACTAAAATAGTTAATGGCAGAAAAATTACTACAAAGAGGTAAGTGACAGAAATACATTTTTATGAAACTATATGTAGAGACATACATAGCTATAAATATATACATATAAATAGACTGTATATGCACACATACATATAGTGATATGTGTACGTATATGTATTTTTACTTCTGCTGTTGTCATCACATTAGTTGGATTTCTCTGGATGCTTAAAAAAAATTAAAAAGTCTCTTGGGGTTCTCTGACTCTTCTTGGCATTGCTGAGTTACTTAAAGCTGTGGCTTGTGAAAATGGGGAAGATGGTGGTTTTGGCTAAACTCTTGATAGTTGAGGAGGGTTCAGATGTGTCAGACATGCTTTCAGAACTGCCCTGATGAAGAATGAAGGTTGCAACTTGGTTGCTGTTTGAAAGGGACCCGGCAATGGAGCCCTTCCAGGTATTCAGAACCTCTTGTGTCGTGATGCATCTTTTATTATGGTCCTTGACTACTGTCTGCAAAGTCAGCTTGAGCTTCTGGAACGGAAGAGTGCACTTGGTTTCTGTTGATTGTCACGCTTTTAACTGAGCATTGGGAGGACTTAATTTTGCAGACATTATGAAACATGAAACAATTTTCCCCAACATCTGCTGAAGTTTGCTTTCCTAGGTGGTGTTTGAGTGAAGTTTTTGTGTAAAAAGTAATTTTCTTTTATCTGTTATGTGAAATAAGCAGCTGAAACTTGCTTTGGTGAAAATTTTTCCTGTTTGTTGGAAAGTGAATTTTCAAGTACTGTATACACCATCCCTTATCACTGTTTCATAGTTGTGATGGGGAAATTACTGCATTTGGGAAACCTAAGTATTAGTTAGCTGGGGAGTAACCTACATGGAACATTATGATCAATAAGTTATAGGAGTACTGATCAAGAGGTGAAATGTAATTTCAGTACTTAATAAAAATTTACAGAAAAGCAAGGGAGAACCAATTTTTTTTGTTTGGCAACTTGTGCCCCATACTCAAAGTGCAAGGTGGTTCTGTGTTGTACTTCCTGTTGTACTGTAGAGATCTTGTCATCTTGACCACTTAAATGCAGCCTTTGACATCACATACTGGTGTGGTCATGATATTTTTCTGTGAGTATATTCCAGAAAAATCTGAAAACTGCCCACTTTTGAGGGAATTGTACCAGATGAGAGAGACCAAAAAAAGTGTTTCTGCAAAAGAAGATAAGGCACCATGTTTGTCTTAATATTAAAAAATAGGCTAAATTAGGTGTGCTGCTGTCATATCTTATGATATCATATTTAGAAAGTGGGGGGAGAAGCAAGAAAGTGGATAGCCACATCTAGGAAGACATATTTACTATCTCCAAGAAGTCCCGTTACATTGTAGAATGTCAGCCCCCAAGGAAGCTATGTCTAAAGAAGGTTCATATCCCAGCATACCCCATGAAAAATCTCTCTATACTGCTCTGCTTCAGGCAAGAAGCTGTCCCCTCTGTTTTTAAAATGTGTGTATTCTCTTCAGTAAGTCAGACCTCCAGAAGAATCTGTATTCATCCGTGTGGTTTCCTCATTTGAATCACGAGGGGAGAATTCATAGAATCATAGAATCATAGAATCGCTTTGGTTGGAAAAGACCTTTAAGATCATCGAGTCCAACCGTTAACCTAACCCTGCCATCCCACCACTAAACCATATCCCTAAGCACCTCATCTATCCTTCTTTTAAATACCTCCAAGGATGGGGACTCTACCACCTCCCTGGGCAGCCCATTCCAGAGCCTGACAACCCTTTCAGTGAAGAAGTTTTTCCTAATATCTAACCTAAACCTGCCCTGGCGCAGGTTTAGGTTCTATTATATTAACTATTCCCAGATAGTTAAAACTTAGGCATAAATTCAATGTTCTAAAAAGAATTTAAACATTCTTTATCTTCCGGTTTCTAAATCAAACAAAAAAGAGTTCCATGGGTTTGGGCTTTTAATAATGTTTCCTTCCAGTTGGGGATACTTAAATTTTGCAACATACGTGCTGGTCATAAACTTGGTATATAGTAGGTCTCCGAATTAATTGCTCTGATGAAATTAAAATTGGTTTAAAGAATGACTTGCATGCCTTACGTCATGCAAAATTGTGATTGGATCTAGAATGTTGTGCATTTAACAGATGGGTAGGTACTAAATGCAATGTCAAGATTGTACAGTTAATCTGTCAAAAGGCATCTAGTTCTAGATAATAGTGTGTAGTGTCAGTACAACTGTGACAATGTATGAGGTGACAGCTGTAACTGTGAACTCTACAAACTGGAGGATTCAAACTTCCAGAAAGCATTTTTCCTGCTATAAATAAGCAATATCGGGGGGAATGCAGATGGTTCCTCGTTACAGCTTCTGCTCTGTTAAATACAAAAGCTTGCCTGCTACAATTGCATTAAGTAGGCAATGTTCCGTTATACATCTTTATCAAAGAACCCAGGTAGGTCTGGTGTGTATTTTCAACTTGCTTACAGTGCTTTAAAATGGCTAACTGTGTTATTGTCCTACAGAATTGTTGAGAATGGACAAGAGAGAGTAGAAGTTGAAGAAGATGGCCAGTTAAGGTCGCTAACAATAAATGGTAAGGAGCAGCTGCTACGCTTGGATAACAAGTAATTCAACGCACGCATTTAACAGAAATTTTAAGCTATAACAGCCACCATTTGAGGATTGACAGGAACATTTTTTGAAGATTTCAAACGAACTCAACTTTCTGTATATCCGTACTTAATCTTAAGTAGTATAAATAGCTCACCGAAGCTCGTATTTGTCATAGACTTTTGAGTTAATTGTTGGGACCACATCAATTGGACCATTTTTTTTGTCCTTAAAATTGTTGTAAATTTCTGTATGCACTTTTCTTTTTATTATATATGATCAAGGTGAACCATGATCCTTCAGTAGTGCTAGGGCAAGATGTACACTAACACTAGCATGAATCTTGCTTTTTCCAATTTGAGATGTGAGCCAATTAGTAGTTTAAGTCTGCTGTGAAGTTAACATTTCCAGGATAACCTTTTTAATAATTTCAACTTTTTTTTAAATGTTTAGTAGTGAACAATGTTAATACATTTCTGGTAATGCATTTCTGGTTTAAATAAATTAAGGATGTTTTCTAGTTGTGCATGGATGCAGACAACTTAGTAAGTTTTGACAAATGTTTAAATGTGTAATGTAAGCAAAAGGTAAACAAAAGTGAAGCCAGTGAGCTGAGTCTTTTGTCATTTGCTAAAAAAAAAATTCAAAATGAATAAATGCTGATGTTTGTGGTGCATTCTTTCATGAATGGCATTTGTAACCTCCTTGTGTCTGTGTGTGATTTGGGCAACTTGGGAAAACAGTGCTTTTTTTTTTTTTCCCTTTTTTCCTACCACCTTTTTCTTCAATCTGCAGGATGAGGGCCTTTTTTCTTTGCAGATGTTTTCTTCAGTGTGACTGAAAACATTATATTTGATTTCTTTTCTAAACCTGTATTTGAAGCACCTGTTTTTAAGAAGCATTCAGAGGCTGACTCTCTAACTCCATCTTTTGCCCTAGTACATAATTTTTGGGGGTCTAGGCCTAAAGTAACTCTCTCTATTTAAAAATCAAAAGAGGTTTCTAAAGTTTTAAGTTCTGAGATTGCTTCAAAAAATAATCTGTAGTGAACATAGATACACAGGAAAACATTTAATAATAATAAAAAAGTCTTTTGGAATTATAAGGTTTTTTGCTTATTTTGAGAACAAACAATTGTTTTGAAGAAGATTTGTACAAAATTATTAGCATTAAAGTATCTCACTCTTATTTTTAGTCATTAACCAAAAATCGAAAGATGGATTAATGCCTTTTGTTAAATTAACGGAGTGAAGCAAAGTGTTCATTTGTAGATAAGACCAGATTTTCAAAGTTTAGTGAAAGACGACTTGATTTCTGTATGTCATAGTGAAAGCATGCAAATAACTATTGGCATATGTTAACACCTGTCAGGCTCTGGGTAATTTCATGCATAAATCATGGATGTGCAGTTTTTATCTGTGCACCAGCTTTGAACATCTGGCCTTCACAAAATTCTTTAGGGTGGCTAAGTGTTTTTTTAAGAAAAAAAAAAAAAGCATGGTGTTTTCAAATGATCACTTAATGCCTTCTTGCTGAACACCATCTGCTTTGTACTAACAAATGCGTTGATGATTACACACACCGAAAAGATTTGCTCTTGTTTATCATGCAGGAAAACCAATTCGACTTAACCCAAACCAACAATCTAACAACCTGCCACAACAGAATTCGTATTTGCAGCAAAGTTAGTACAATCTTACGTTTGTCCCTCTACCATTAATGCTAGTTTCGTAGAACCAAACAAAATAACAGGTAGAAGAAGAAATAAAGATGTACTTTGGTTTTGGGACTACAGAAGTTATGTACCTTTTCAAGTTCTTTACGGAGTTCTTGTTACTTCAGTGTTGTGTTCTTGGTGTAGAAGCACAAACTCAGTTTAGAACTAAACTGTGTTTTCTTGTTAATGCTGTTTTTTCCTTCCCCATGTATGTTCTTTCTTGATCCAGATAACTAAACAGAGAATTTATTTCAAAATCTGGCTTTGTTGTGATGTCTTGAGTTATTAAAAATGTTAATTTATATTTATAGGACACAGTGTGCTCCTTTAAGTTATGTAAACTGTAAAAAGCGCTTCAAAATTGGTTAACCAAGTCAAATAAAATTAGGACAATCTGGAGTTGAGTTTGAATTCCTTCCTGTGGATACCCATAGGTTTTACATTGAGCTGCCAAACTTCACCTTCTATTCTAATCCCAGGTAATCTTCTTTTAACATTTAAATTACCTAGCTGAAGTTAAGAACACAGTTATGATAGCGTACCTGCTAGTGGCAAATCTGTACCCATGTGCTTGCCTTGGATCTTCTTACCCAGAAAAGTGTGGTCCTTCTCACAGCATTATATACAAACAGGTTGCTCCAGGGTTCTATATTGAAATCTTTTCAGGCTGTAAACTTGCTGAAGATCCAGTGTTTTGGATAGTCTCTCTTCTGCCTTGAGATGCCTGAAGCTGGTTATTGTCTGAGCTGGATGAAATGCGGCATTAAATGGTGGAAAGAGAAACTGGCAAAACACAAAACAGGCAAGAAGAAATGAGTCAGCAGAAGGCAGAGTTCATCAGTAAAGACTGCTACAGTAGTAAGCAGATACCCATTACACCAGCCTTTGCATGGGCTGGTGGTCAAACTGGGTGGATACAGGGTCTTGGAAAAAAAAAAAAAAAAAAAAAATAAAAAAATTGTCACATTCTCACACTTGACCTAAGCCTAATAGTCTCCCCCTGTTTCAGTGTGTAGAACATCGGTGTTATTTAAAAAAAAACCAAACCAACCACCTCATCTAACTTCTTGCAGCCAACTTAATTTTTAATAAACAGAATAAATCCTCATTTTATGTTTACTGTGGATCCAATTTAAATTCTTCCTATTATGTATTATATATTCAGAATTTCTTATTTGTGCTGCTGAAAAGAGCTTATTTTCTCTTGAAAACCCACTTATTAGGTTGCTCTGAAAAATGTGATGTCATTTCTTACTCATATGTAATTTGCATGGATGTACAAAACCTACTCACTAGAATTAATGGATCATCAAGGGCAGCAGATTTCCTTAAACTTCAATTTTGGCCAAAATAGCACAAAATACTTTACTTAATAAAAGAAAAGGTTCTTAATTCTGGCAAATGCTAGGCATCAAATGTGCAGTGGGATGAGGTAGCTTTCAAAACCAGGTGCTCTTTGATTAAAAGTACCAGTTCTTCATACAGGAGGGATTAATTTTGAATGTTTAGGGACACCATCCAGTTAAAATTAAGCTTCCTCCAGTGGTTTGGAAAAACTAAGATGGAGTTTTTGAACCTGCTAAGTCACTTACTCTTTCATGCTTTGCTTCAAAGTTCATTGGTAGAATACAATAACTTTGTAATGCTTTTTCTTGGTGCAACCTCTTTTTTGGTCTCTCGTGCATGGCAGCAATTTCAACGCAATACACTGTAACGCAAGTTTCTCTAGAGATTGCATGGCACCTACCCCTTTCACTTGGCTTTACTGAAGAAGTTTGGGATTTCGCCTTGGAATGCTTCACATTTTAAAATTGCTGCAGCTATGGTAGCTCTCAGTTCTTACAATACCTTCTCTGTTGAGAATCCCAGGCATTGTTTTTGTGGTATGAGCGGCAAAGCTGCTCTGCAGAGTAAGGGTACGTAGCATTTGTGTGTACTGCATCAGCTTGTGATTGATTGGTGGACTGAGGCTTAGAATGGTGAAAACAAGGCTTGAAAAAGACTTTTAAAAAAAAATACCAAAACAACAACCTCTAAACAAGCCCAAGGGTTTTGTGTGTGACCGTCGGTGTTGGTGTTTGTCCTGTTCGCTTGCCTCCTTCAGTGTGTTAGCTTGAGGTGTAAGTGGAGGTTTGTCCTCTGTATTTAGCTGTGCTTACGTGTTTCAGACCATACCTGGGATGGTCCAGTGATAAATTGATTTTTATTTTTTACTTTTGGGAACCTGAGTTCTGTTCCTGAATTTGCTTCTGTTCCATTTGGAAAGTGAGCTTGTTTCCTACTTTGCTTTATTTTAATCTGTGATGGTAACAGGACAGTGTTTGCCTCTACTTATCGTTGCATTGCAAAATGAATGTTACAGCTGTACGATGCTTGTGGTCAGAGAATTTTTCAAAAGCACTCAACAGCCTTAATTTAGTGTTACGATTCTTGTTAACCTTTTTGTGGGAACATTTGGTAGTACTTTTGGAAAACCTGCCTCTTTGGTCCTGATTTTTGGATGTCTTGGTATTTAGGCTTATTTTTAAGTCACGGTGTTCTCACAAGGTAGTTGCAATACCGACATCATTTATCTGCCAATCAGCAGTAACCTGGACTTTGCAACTTTACTTTTCTTAAGGTAAGAAACATCAGCTTGTTTGCACTGTCTGCTCCCTCTGGTCTTGTGTACCTTGGGGCCGAATTGTGGCGGCAGGCTTGGCTTTATGTAGTGCTCAGCATAGACAAGTTTGGGTTTTCTTGTTGTTATTGCTTGTCTTCAAGTGGTTGTCTTGAGTAAAAAGCTTTTTATCTTCCACCCGAAATGCTGAAATGATCCTTCTGTTGCAGTACCGTTGGAACAAAGCAAATTTACTTTGTGTTACAAACAATATCTTTTGAATTCGTCATTACAGGGGATTTACTGCTTGATCTGCTTTGGTTTTGGAAAAAATACCTCGCCTGGAGTTGGTTATTGAGTGGAGTTCACTACTGAACAATTAGAGCAGGAGGTGGTTGGTTTGTACTCTGCTGCATAGGTCATACATTCACAAAACAGTAAGCCCCACTTTTGAGATACTGCTGTCAGATCTAAAAAATAAATAATTAAAACCCCCGCTGTGACCATCTGAGCCATAACCCCGAAGCTGTGCGAGCTGCCTGCTGATTCAAACTCATCGAAACTTCTCTGAAAACTATGTTGTGGCAGACGTAGCGCTGGGTTAGGTGTTATCTGGCTTACAGCAGCTGGGAGAAAGTTAATTGAAAACCCACGTGAGTGCTCTATC